TTTAGCATCTATTGTAAGGTTATCAACTTTTTTCATTTCCTTTTTAATTTGGATCAATTCCCTCTTGCCAGGAAATCATTCATTTACTCTAGGTAGTATTCTCTCTTGATCCTATTAATGGATACAATATCAATTGTGCTTCTTCTTACTCATTTCAAATCTTAATGTAAATTTACTATCTCTTTACCTTATTTAAACTTATGTGGGGGATCTACTGGGGTTTTAAAATATTTTTCTACTTTAAAAGAAACAGGATGGATTACTTTATACATCTTGATGCCTGAATAAATTTAGGCATGCTTTCAGATACAAGAGAAACCTAGAATAGAATGGCTTATGTAAAATCTGCTTATTTCTATCACCTCGCAAAAGTCTGGAGTTAACTTGCTATTAGTGTTGACTAAATATTGTCACGACCAGTGTCTGATTCTTTCCCCTAGGATTGAGAGAAGGTTGCCATGCCACTACCCCAGGCATCATGTGCAAGGCCAGAGGTGGGTAAACTAATGGCAGCAGCTAAATCTGTCCCTTTTTAGGAAAGCAAAGGTTTTCCCAGAACACACCTATCAGTGTTTTGCTTTTCCTGGCCTGAGTCAGTCACCGGGCAAACTAACAGCTTCAAAAGATGCTAACAAAGTAAGCAATAAGGGAAGAGGATTGGAATTGCTTAGCAAACGCAACACTGTCTAAAACTGTGAAAGTGGCTATCCGTGCCCAAGAAACAAATAATCACTTTTCCTAAAGATACACAACATATACCAAAAAAGACACTTAAAAATCTAATATGTGAAGCTTAACTAAGACTAGGAACTCAGAAACTATAATAGACAGACATATTTAAACATGTAAAAAATAAAATTGTGTGAATGAGAAAATATATACAAAGTCAAGAGTCAAGCAATAGTTTTCTTAAGAGTTATTACCATTGACATACAAAAAACTGTTACAAATTGACAATCCAAAAAAATAAATAAATAAATGGTATAAAAAGGCAACTCACAAAAGAGCAAGGTATATGGCCAAGAAACACTTAAAGAGGTACATTAATATGTAAATTAAAAGTAGTTATCACTTTGAAATCAGAAAACTTCTCCAAGTTAAAAAGTAACCACTATTTTTAGTATAGGGGAAACCGTTTTATACACTAATGTTGGAAATATGAAATGCAAGTCTTACTCCACAGAGATCTGGCAATTTCTTTAAATAAGAAAACACAGATGGGGCGCCTGGGTGGCTCAGTCAGTTGAGCATCCGACTTTGGCTCAGGTCATGATCTTGCTGCAGTTCATGAGTTTGAGCCCCGCTTCAGGCTCTGTGCTAACAGCTTAGAGCCTGGAGCCTGCTTTGGATTCTGTGTCTCCCTGTCTCTCTTCTCCTCCCCGGCTCACACTGTCTCTCTTTCAAAAATAATAAACATTTTTTAAAAAATTAAACAAAAACCACACTCATACGTGTGCACATATATTAATGGTCTATATGACCAAGTAAAAAGAAAACTATGAAGTTGACAACCATTGCTCATATGGTGACAGACTGTTGCAGTGGCTGGAGTTGCTAGAAGAGTGGAAAAAGTCCAAAATTCAATAAATAAAACATGTCACATTTACATAGTTTTATGTGTGTCTACACACATGTATGTGTTTCAACGTATTTAATTAAAAGAAAGGCTGATGTCTGGTGGGGACACTTCTGTCAATGAGTTGGCATTGTTCTCCATTGGGGTCTTCATTTAGTGGGCTCCTCTCCTGAGTATTGTCTTCTCCTACCTCTATATTATCTCTACCGCCTGGAGGATCCGCTCCTTAGAGGGGAGGCAAAAGTCCTTCTTACTATGGCAGCACCATGTTCACATACGTATGGCCCCTCACTCACTGGGCGAAGACCAGCTGGTCTCTGTCCTGTATGGTGTTGTCATTCCCGTGCTAAACCCCATCATCTGCCCTTGAAAGAATAAGGACATCAGAAAGGCCTTGAAAGTGGTGGCAGAAAAGGTAGCAGCCTTCAAATCTCATTTCCCTTGACTTGTACTGTTTCTTTTTCTATGATGATTAGTAATAGAAAATTACCCTACTGACACAATCTGGTTGTTTCTTGCCAACATTACTAATAAAACTCTAAGAATTAAAATTTCAATGATAAAACAAATGGGGCAAAATGTTAACAATAGATGAATTTGGGTAAAGGGATACTATATATTTTTTGTACTCTTCCTATTCTTGAAACACTTCTATCTGTTCTATGTTTTAAATGATTTCCACATAAAAAGTTTAAAAAGTTTTAAAAAAGGCAATTATTGGGCTGGCCTATTTGTCCCCACTGGTTTGAGACACAGGCATGAAATTTAACCAATAAACAAAATGAATTACATTTCTTGTGAAATTTGCTTCTATGGGAATACTTCTTCCTGTAACAAATTTAGTATCCTCCCAGTATGAAGTTTATGGCATTTTAAGAAAATGATGTATTTGGGTGCACCTGGGTGGCTCAGTCGCTTGAGCACCCGACTTCAGCTCAGGTCATGATCTCACGGTTTTTGAGTTTGAGCCCCACATCGGGCTCTGTGCTCTCAGTTCATAGCCTGGAGCCTGCTTCAGATTCTGTGTCTCCCTCTCTTTCTGCTCCTCCCCTACTCACACTCTGTCTCTCTCTGTCTCTCAAAAAATGCATAAATGTTTAAAAAAAATTTTTTTAAAGAAAATGATGTATTTGAAAAGAAAATTTGATGTATTAAGAAATGATTTAATTCTTCTCCATTATCTATGATGTCCAGTAAGATACAACTCATGGACAAAGACTTTTTGACATACAGCAACTCTGTAGGATAATTTACAATTGGTTCAAACTTACATGAGAAGCCTTTCTCATTTTCAGAAAATACACAATTTCACTCATGCACAAATACTGAATACTGAAAACTGGTTTCTGAATGAAGATATTTTCACACAAAGTGCATGAATTTTGTCTACTTCCAGCAGACATTTTATGATGATTTCTACGTGGTTCTTCAAGGAATTGCTTTTATAGGTTTCTCTCTCCAAAATGAGTTTCCGGGAAACAATAAGCTTTTGGCCTGTTATTTCTCTCATGTGTGAATTTGCTGACGTTCAGAAAGCTGACTTTTCAGCAGATGATTTTTCTGGTTATTGTATACATAAGGTTTCTCTCCAGCATGAATTCTCTGTTATGTAATGAAGTAATGATTTGTGAATGAAGCCCTACTCACATTTACTAAGATAGAAAACTACTCTCTCCTATGAATCACCTGATATATAAATGTTGGTTTGAGTTAAAGTTTTCTTACATCTACTGAATTCACAGAATAAGATTCCTTTTAAAAACTAAAGTACGTTGCTAATTAAATTTACATTGTAAAACTTTTTAAAAAGTTCTGCTGTAAATACAAATGAACTATATTAAAGTTCTGGCATAAAAAGATATGTCTAATTCACACTACTCTCCTTCTTGCACATGCATCCAATCTATACTATCCTTGGAGTTCCATCTAAGTAAATTAGCTCCCCCCATTCCACCCAGAACTGTTCCATCATCCATTCCCCAATTTCCAGTGCCCCTTCAAATATGTGAAGGCCCACAAAAGGAAGTCTTCCTTTCTCCTAGATGTTACCATGTTGACAGAAGGTAGCATATCTTCTTTTTTTGGCTTAGTAATGTAGAACTGTTGCATGTATGTATGTATTTATAAAGTTTATTTTGAGAGAGAGAGAGAGAGAGAGAGGAGGAGGGACAGAGAGGGGGAGGGAGAGAAGAGAGAATTCCATAGGCTTTGTAATGGCTATGGAGAGCCTGATATGGGGCTCAAGTTCACAAACCATGAGATCATGACCTGAGCCAAAACCAAGAGTTGGACACTAACTGACTGAGCCACCCAGGTGCCCACATTTTTTAAAAATGTGCCTGGGTGGGGCGCCTGGGTGGCGCAGTCGGTTAAGCGTCCGACTTCAGCCAGGTCACGATCTCGCGGTCCGTGAGTTCGAGCCCCGCGTCGGGCTCTGGGCTGATGGCCAGAGCCTGGAGCCTGTTTCCGATTCTGTGTCTCCCTCTCTCTCTGCCCCTCCCCCATTCATGCTCTGTCTCTCTCTGTCCCAAAAATAAATAAACGTTGAAAAAAATAAAATAAAATAAAATAAAAATGTGCCTGGGAATAAACAGGTTGAGAATCACTATCTCAGTGATCCTTCTAAATTAGTCTTTAAAATCCTTATTTTCAAACCCCTGGGCTCATACACCAGCCTTCATTAACTTAATTTCCTATTCATTACCCAAAGGAAAAAAGCCACACTATTAAAAAAGAAACATGACAGTCTCAATCTCCTTTTGCCAAAGATTGGCAGCTACCATAATAAAATCTGATACCACCACAGTCAGTTTTCTCTTAGGTTTCAAAGTTTACAAAATCTTCAACAAAACAGTAAATGCCTTAACTTTTAGCCACAAAAATAGGGAATGGTGTCACAAATCAGTGCATTTTCACTTTTAAATTAGCTTGGAAAATCCTGGTAATTTAAAAAATATATTTCTGGACTCCACACTCCTTAGAAAGGAACAGCTATTGGGGTGCCTGGGTGGCTCAGTCTGTTAAGTGTCCAACTTCGGCTCAGGTCATGATCTCACCATTTGTGAGTCTGACCCCACTCAGGCTCTGTGCTGACAGCTGGGAGCCTAGAGCCTGCTTCAGATTCTGTCTCCCTCTCTCTACCCCTGCCCCGCCTCCACTCTGTCTCTCTCAAAAATAAATAAACATAAAAAAAAAAAAAAAACTTTAAAAGAAAGGAACAGCTATCTCAGGGCATTGAAAACTTCTGCTAATGATTAGACAGAGCAGGTAGTACAGACAAGTACTTCCTTTGAGAACTAAAAATGGTGGAAGAAAATATTAAATATACTTAATTTTGTGATGGCACTGGAGAGCTACCAAGAAGTGAGAAAATACAGGAATAGGATTAGAGATAAGACATAACCTCTGGAGTCTGGGACTATTCAAAAGAGGTGTTTGCTAATTTTTAAAGCAAATACCGAAGAAGAGAGGTTAAGACAGTTTTTAACAAATTTATGGACTTAATGGGACAAATACTAAAATTAAGTTCCTTCACAGAATGAGGCACCTAGAAAATCTCCCCAAGTCCTACATCTCTAGGGTGAAAAACACCAGACAAGCCTTCCCTGGGACTGGAGCCCAGTCTCACACTCTCAGTACAAGACTGGACGAAGACAGGTAGGGGTGCTTATGCTCTTGCCTAGTCCTACCTGTTAGAGTCAAAGGCAAATCTTCTCTGGAAGATGATACCATCCAGACCACCTCAGTGTCTCTGCAGTGCCTAATATATAGTGCCTGGTAGCTGATTTAAAATTACCAGGTATAGGGGAAAACAAGCATTACCAAAATCTGAAACAACGAATGGAAAAAGGTTTACAGAGGGTCTAAATAATGGGGCAATCTCTAGACAAAGCAGAGGAAGACATGAAGCAGAAGCATACTTTGTATAGATAATAGCAAGAAATTTCCCAAAAGGTAAAGAAAAAAACCACCAAGCTACAGATTTAAAAAAAAAAAACACAGCAAACCCCAAACAAGCACACAGAAAATCACACCTAGGCATGCCACTGTGAACTGCTGGCAGCTGAAGATAAGACAAATTTTGAAGGAGGGAGAGAAAAGGGAAAAAAAGCACATTATCTTCAAAGGTACTTACATTGAAAGCTTATTTTCAAAAAAATAAAAAAAAAGGAAAACATGTATGGATTAATATAAATGAACATGGACTCAAATGACTGACCACATCAACTACACACAAAATCCAAATGCATGACGTTAATACCATGTAAACCAAGAGGGAAATAAAGGAGCTAATGTTCTAGCTCCTCACCTCATCTGGAAAGTGGAGAAGGGACTCATTTATTTTAGCCTTCAATGAGTGAAGTATGCATACAGTATTAATATCTGATGCAGTAAATTTTAAGGCAAAAAAGAACATCAGTAGCAATAAAAACAGACATTTCATAATAATTAAGTTTCAATTAACCAGAAAGAGTATAACAACTCTAAATCTGAATGTATGTAAAAACAAAGACTCAAAATATAAGAAAAAAATGGGTTGATCTACAGGAGAGACAAATTCACAAATATTCTGGAGGATGAAGCACTGCTTTTAGAATCTGTTAGGAAAAAAAAAAAGATTTTAAAAAGTCTGTAAGAATACAGAGGGTCTGCAAACACAATCGGATTAATTTGTAGACACTGGGAGGGGACAGAAGATTACTCTTCCAAAAGTGCAACCCTGTCTTCTTAGAAAACAAACTCAGATGTGAACAGTAGTGTCCCATAGTCACCTGGCACGTAATGGACATGCAGAGAATGTACCAACAAAACTTCCATGGAAGGAAAGAATTCTAGGTTTTGAAACCCATTTTCTTAATTTGTCTCTTTTCCAAACAGAAATTTTAAAAAATATAGACTTCTGTGGATGAGGCTGACAGTCCAAAGTGCTGACCTCTGGATCTGTGACCTGAGTCCCATGGCCTCAGGGCCAGTCCTGAGGTGACAAGTAAGGAGTCTGTGGGGCTGCTGTCTACCTCATTGGTCACTCTGGGGACACAGCTGGGATAACTTTATGCCTCTTGGGTGTGAGTTACCTAGGCCATGGCAGGGAATTAATAAATACAGGAACATACTGGTTAATAACTAAAGAGGCCTATGAATATTCAAGTAGGCCTGTGGTTCTGATTACCAATCTCAAAGTCAAATAAAAAAAGTGTTTATCCAAATTTCCACACACTAATAGATACTATAAATAATAAATAAGAGTGGCTTCTTCCAAAAGGGGGGGGAAAAGTCCTTTCTTTGTGTCTTTAATGTCAATTTTCACAAAAAACCTCTGGCTTCTCTTCATTATAGACCTGAACTGTCTATACTTTTGCCTTGATTTCAGCGTCCTTGGACGATGAAAAAATTTTTTTAGCTCTCTGCTCATTAAGAACTTCATTTAGTCAATATCGAATATTTTTGCTACCCAGGGCGTGAGAAGCTCAACAGCACTGAACTTATGAAGCTGCTTCTCCACAATATGAAACAAGAAAGACTAAGTCCTCTCCTTGCAGATTTGCTATTATTTCCAGGGGCTTGACAATTCCAGTACCTGTCCGGTAACTAAGTGTGGGCATCACACATCGCTTAAGCTCTTCCTCCCAAGTATCTCCCGCAAACGTGTAGCTGGACATCAGCTCTGTAATCCAGACATTCCTACTTCTGACCAGAGGTAAGGTGGCTTTGGTTACCTCCTGCTTCTTAGTCACATGGTAGCCTCTCATTCCTTGGTATCCCCACACCATGATTGTGGCACTGGACATGCTACTTTCCCAGTGTCAGATTTCTGATGTATCCTGAGCTGTGGCCTCCAGTTTAAGGCTTTCTTAAAGTCACTGCCTTTATAGGTCTTTTGTTTAGTATGAATTTTCTGGTGTTTAATAAGATTTGATCTGATAGTGAAGGCTTTTCCACACTCAGCACATATAAATGGTTTCTCTCCTGTGTGAATTCGATGATGCTCATGGAGTTGTGACTTCTTAATGAAGGCCTTCCCACAGTCACTGCATCCATAGGGTTTCTCTCCAGTATGAATTCTCCGATGCCGATTTAAGTGTGATTTCTGGATGAAGGACTTCCCACATTCAGTACAAATATAGGGTTTCTCTCCTGTATGAATCCTCTGATGCATAATTAGTGTTGATTTTCTTGCAAAAGCTTTCCCACATTCGCTGCACTCATAGTGTCTCTCTCCAGTATGAGATTGCTGATGTATATGGAGGCCTGACTTCCGAGTGAAGGCTTTTCCACAGTCACTACATTTATAGGGTTTCTCCCCAGTATGAATTTTCTGGTGCGTAAACAGATTCGATCTGTCAGTGAAGGCCTTTCCACACTCAGCACATCTGTAGGGTTTCTCTCCTGTGTGAATTTGCTGATGCACATGGAGTTGTGACTTCTTAGTAAAGGATTTCCCACAGTCACTGCATTCATAAGGCTTTTCTCCAGTGTGAATTCTCTCATGTGTAATAAAATGTGACTTGTGGAAGAAGGCCTTTCCACATTCAGTGCAAACATAAGGTTTTTCTCCTCTGTGAATTCTCTGATGCATACTTAGTGTTGACTTCTGGATGAAGGCTTTCCCACACTCAGTGCATTCATAATGTCTCTCTCCAGTGTGGCATTTCTGATGTATCCTGAGCCGTGACTTCCAAGTGAATGATTTTCCACAATCACTGCATTTATAGGGTTTCTCTCCAGTATGAATTTTTTGGTGTTTGATGAGATTTGACCTGTCAGTAAAGGCCTTCGCACATTCAGTACATATATAAGGTCTCTCTCCAGTATGAATTTTCTGGTGTATAATGAGATTTGTCTTGTGAGTGAAGACTTTCCCACATTCTGTACATATAAAGGGATTCTCTCCTGTGTGAATTCTCTGATGCACATGGAGTTGTGACTTCTTTATAAAGGATCTTCCACAGTCACTGCATTCGTAAGGTTTCTCTCCAGTATGAATTCTCTCATGTGTAATGAAATGTGACTTCCGTATAAAGGCTTTCCCACATTCAGTACATACATAGGGCTTTTCTCCCGTATGGATTTTCTGATGCATACTTAGTGTTGATTTCCTTGTGAAGGCTTTTCCACATTCAGTACATTCAAAGTGTTTCTCTCCAGTATAATTTTTTTTATGTATATTGAGATTTGAATTCTGAGAAACATTTTTCCCACATTCACTGTATTCATAGGGTTTTTCTCCAATATGAATTCCCTGGCATCTGAACAGATCTGACTTCTGGATAAAGGCTTTTCCATATTCACTGCATTTACAGTGATTCTCCTCAGTGTGAGTTTCCTCATGACTTGACTTGAGGCAAAAGTCCTCCTCATATTCAGTGCACCTATAGGGTTTCTCTCCTGTAGAAGCCTTCTGAGGTACAGCAAGTTGGGGCTTCTGAGTGAAGACTGTCTCATATTTGCTGCATTCATGCTGTTTCTCCTCAGTATAGATACTTTGATGTGCAAAGAGGTGTGACCCCTGGGTGAAAATTTTTACAGAATCAGAAAATAAATTGAGACTCTTCCCAGTATGAATTTTGTGATGTTGAATGAGAGCTTGCTTATGACTCAGAAGTTTCTTACACTGATTATATTCACAACCATTCATTTCTGTATGAGAATTCATAGGAGTGAAAATATTACCATATCCAATAATCTTATCAAGATTTTCTATTGCATTGTTTCTATAATTACATAAGCTTACAATAGGCTTCAAACTCCTTCCAAATGAGTCACAGTTCTGGAGTCTTTTTCTTGCAGGAACAAGGTATGTGTCTACATGATCAGTTTTCCCAGTGTCCTTATATTCACAGTCTCTCTCATTAGCTACTGTTTCCTTGTCAACAAAGGCGACATGACTTACACTTTTGTTCTGGTATTCCTCACATCTCTCCGTCTGTTTGTCATCTTGCCACAATTCTTCTAAAATGGAATAATATGGGTCATCTCTTGTAAAGAGATTAATTTTTTCAAACCGTATTGAAACTTCTTTAGACGTTCCCTGCTGTAAAGTTTTAAAACCAATATCCCCATCTAAAAAAGAAGGAAAAAATAAAAGACACAAAGAAGAGTTAAGAACATAGAAGGGATAATATATATAGGTGATTTAGGGTGAATACAGAGAACTGTGAGAAGCTTATATAAATTTAACAGATATGTATGCAAATATATAAAACATAAATAATACAGGATTTGTAATAGATTTATATGTGGGACAGCAGTAAAATGAACCCTTACAGTACACTTACTAAACAAGCAGTGGCAGCTAGATGTGCCAGGCACCGTCCTAAGTTCTATACTACCTCACGTAATCATCACACCCTTTCGCGCTTGGTCTCACCCTTGTCTTTATTTTACAGACGAGGAAACTGAGCCACAGAAGAGTCAGGTAATTTGCCTAGATCAAATGTTTAGTAATTGGAGAAGATGAGCCTCAAACTGAAGCCATGTCAGCTCCATGTACATTAGCAGAAATACACAGTAAGGTGTCAGAGGGGCAAAGTGACAAACTATGTGGCTTAAAAGAAACGTATGGGTCTAGCTTCTTAACATCCTCATTATTCTTATCCTATTATTCTAGTTATCCTTCATCCACTAATCTCCCACTTTCTCTTTCCCTATTAATCACTGTGCCCTAAACACCAATTTATTCATGCACAGTGAAACTACTGCAGCTTCAGTCATTCTGACTTAGCCAAATGGCAAAAAATATCTATGATTCGATTCTTTGTTCTGGTTTGGGGAGCAGAGATACATGCACTCAACAGGAGGCATATAACAGCAGACAGGGGTGGCTTTCTGAAGCAGGGCCTGAAAGCTGTCAATCAAAACCTGTCCTCTTCCTTTCTTTGGTTTACAAACCCACTGAGAGAAGAATTTGTCATGTGTTAGATAATAGGCAGTAACGTCAGTTGGGATCCATATACCTATGACAGGATAAACGTGGTGTTTTGAACAATGAAATCTATTAGTAGCACCTAAGATGGACTAGTAAAAAAATATGGAGGTAGCACATCCAAGTAAGGTTAGAATAAACTAAAGGCTTGAAGAAATATAGACATGGTTTTGAGTAAGAGGAGGAGGGCATCTAAGTGATATTTTCTAAAAGAGAAAAGTTAGTAAAAAGAGCAGAAAGAATTATTTGAGAAGATGTATCACAGGGAAAGTAAAGAACCACAATAGAACATGATGAAATTTTGAAAGGTGAGCTATCTACTCTTAGCATGCTGCACTGGACCTGCTCTTCCTTCATATAAGCGGCCACCAGATGGACCCTTAAATGCAAAAGCCATCAGTCATTCCCCTGAGTATTCTATACAAGGGCCAATGCTTGCTTGAGACACACAATCAACAGTGACAGCATTAAGATTCGTTTCCCTGAGCTGAGCCTAGTGATGATCACAATTTATGCTGGAATTGAGACCCTTCATGTCAATCTGAGACACACAACTGTCTCTAAATGGCAATTATAACTTTCAACTTGGGTTGGTTATACATATGACAGAGGCTCATAGGACTCAGCAAATGTAGCATAAAGCAGCAAAGTTCTAAGTATGTAGTCACCAGCAGGCAGGTGAAACTGATAGCAAAAGAGAAAAAAAAAAAAGACCCCTGTGGCACTGGTGATCATCTTGACATCCTGCTCACTGCACCAACTGTTAAGCTGCCTGCAAAGAAAGGATGGACCCCCACCCCAAATTTGGTTCAGATGTCAAGACCAAGGATGTAATACACACACCAACAAGGTATGAACAAGTTCATTACTTAGCACAAGCAGACAGGCTGACCACTCCTGTGCAGCTTCCCACCAGCACCGAGGGAGGGAGCACCTGTGCTTTCTTGTAGATTTGCCCAGATGTGGGGCAGAAGGCAAGGAGAGAGGGGTGAGGCTTAGGAGATGTCAGCAGTCAGACATCAAAAATGAAGTCAGATGTGACACCTAAAGCACAAGCCACAAAACCAAAATCAACAAGTAGAATTGTATCAAACTTAAAAGATTCTGTGCTCACAGTAAAAGAAACCAACAACAAAATGAAAGGAAAGCATACAGAATGGGAGAAGATATTTGCAACCATGTATCCAATAATAGGTTAAAATCCAAAATAGATTAAAAAAAAACCGTAAGACTCACTAGCAAAAAACCAAATAACCTAACTAAAAAATGGGCAAAGGACAAGAATATTCTATCTAGCAAGGCTGTCATTCAGAATAGAAGGAGAGGGGGTGCCTGGATGGCTCAGGTCATGATCTCACAGCTCATGAGTTCAAGCCCTGCATCAGGCTCTGTGCTGACAGCTCAGAGCTTGGAGCCTGCTTTGGATTCTGTGTCTCCAGCTCTCTTTGCCCCTCCCCTGCTTGTTCTCTCTCTCGTTATTTCCCTCTCACTTTCTCTCTCTCTCTCTCTCTCAAAAAAAATAAACATTAAAAAAATTAAGAAAAAAAAAAAGAATAGACGGAGAGATAAAGAGTTTCCCAGGCAAACAAACTTAAAGGAGTTCGTGACCACTAAACCAGCCTTGCAAGAGATCCTAAGGGGTACTCTGTGAGTGGAAAGCAAAGACCAAAAGTGATAAAGACAAGAAAGGAACAGAAAAATCTGTAGAAACAACAAAACAAGTAATAAAATGGCACTAAATACATATCTACCAATAATTACTCTGAATGTAAATGGATTAAACGCTCCACTGAAGATACAGGATGTCAGAATGGATAAAAAAAATAAGACCCTACAAGAGACTTGTTTTAGACGTAAAGATAGCTGCAGATTGAAAGTGAGGGATAGAGAAACACTTCCCATGCAAATGGACCTCAAAAGAAAGCCACAGTAGCAATATTGTTATCAGACAAACTAGATTTCAAACCAAGGGCACTATATCATCATAAAGGGGCCTATCCAACAAGATCTAACAATTGTAAATATTTATGTCCCCAACATGAGGGCACCCAAATATATAACACAATAACAAAAGTAAAGGAACTCACTGATAATGATACCATAATAGTAGGGGACCCTAACACCCCACCTACAGAAATGGACAGATATCTAAGCAGAAAATCAACAGGTAAGCAATGGCTTTAAATGACACACTGGACCAGATGGACTTAGCAGATATATTCAGAACATTTCATCCTAAAGCAGCAGAATACATACAGTTCTTCTCAAGTACATATGGAACATTCTCCAGAATAAATCACATTTTAAAATACGTGGAAACAAATGAAAATGAAACACGATGGTCCAAAACCTTTGTGATGCAGCAAAGGCGGTCCTAAAAGCAAAGTATATACCAATACAGACCTACCTCAAAAGAAAAAAATCTCAAATACACAACCTAACTTTACACCTAATGGAGCTAGAAAAAGAACAACAAGCAAAGTCTAAAGCCAGCAGAAGAAAGGAAATAATAAATATTAGAGCAGAAATTATATAGAAACAAACAAACAAACAAACAAAAAAGACGATACAATGGATCAATAAAACTAGGAGCTGGTTCTGTAAAAAAAATTAATAAAACTGATAAACCCCAAGCCAGACTTATCAAAAAGAAAAGAGAGAGGACTCAAATAAATAAAATCACAAATAAAAGAAGAGAAATAACAACTAACACCAAAGAAATACAATTACAAGAGATTATGAAAAACTATATGCCAACAAATCGGACAACCTGGAAGAAAAGAATAAATTCCTAGAAACATAAACCACTATAACTGAAACAGGAAGAAACAGAAAACTTACACAGACCTACAGCCAACAAAGAAACTGAGTCAGTAATCAAAAAACTTACAACAAACAAAAGTCCAGGGCCTGATGGCTTCACAGGGGACTTTTTTTTTTTTAAGTTTAAGGGGAAAGTGGGTGATGGGCATTGAGGAGGGCACCTGTTGGGATGAGCACTGGGTGTTTTATGGAAACCAATTTGACAATATATTGTATGTAATATTTAAAAGATTCTCTCTCTCCTCTTCTGCCCCTCCCCCACTTGTGTTTTCTCTCTTTCTCTCTCTCTCTCTCTCTCTCAAAAAAAAAAAGATATATGACAGGCTGACTGGTACATGAAAAGATGCTAACTGATCATCAGGGGAATGTGAATTAAAACCACAATGCGAGGGGCACCTGGGTGGCTCAGTCGGTTGAGCATCCGACTTGGGCTGAGGTCATGATCTCACAGTCCATGAGTTCGAGCCCTGCATCAGGCTCTGTGCTGACAGCTGAGAGCTTACAGCCTGCCTCGGATTCTGTCTCCCTGCCCCTCCCCTGCTCATGCTCTGTCTCTCTCTCTCAAAAATAAATAAAAACATTAAACACACACACACACACACACACACACACACAATGCAGTATCACTTCATGCCTGTTGGAATTTCCATCATCAAAAAGACAAGAGATTACAAATGCTGGCACAGATGTGGAGAAGAGGGAGCCCTTGTGTACTGTTGGTGAGAGTATAAACTGGTACAGCCACTGTGGAAAACAGTACAGAGGATCATCAAAAAATTAAAAATAGAACTGTCATCTGATCCAGCAATTACACTTCTGGGAATATATCCAAAGGAAACAAAAACACTCATACAAAAACATATCTGCAACCCCACATTCCCTGCAGCAATATTTACAACAGTCAAGACATGGAAACAACCTAAGTGTCCATTGATGAATGAATGGATAAAGGTGTAGTGTACATATACAACAGAATATTATTCAGCCATAAAAAAATGAGGAAATCCAACCATTCGCAACTACGTGGATGGATCTGAAAGCATTACGCTAAGATAAGTGACAGAAAGATAAACACTACATAAGTGATAATCTCACTTACACGTGGAATCGAAAAAAAACTAAATTCATAGAAAGGAAATCAGACTTGTGGGTACCAGAGGCAGAGGGTAGGAGAAGGGGACTGAAGGAAGGTGGTCAAAGATACAAAACTCCAGTTATAAGCACCAAGGACATGATGCACAGTATGGAGACTAGAGCTAACATTCCTATACAGCATGTAGGAAAGTTGTTGAGAGTGATCCTAAGTTCTCATCACAAAGAAAAAACAATTCTCCCTTTTTTCCTTCTTTTCTTTTTATTGTATCTATATGAGCAGATGGATTTTATCTGAACCTATGGTTCATTTCACAGTATATGCAAATCAAACCATTATGTTGTTTATACAGTGATATATGACATGTATTTCTCAATAAAATTGGAAAAATAAAGTCAGAATCTATTAGATATATGATGAGATGTTCAAAATATTTCATTAGAGAAACACAAATTAAAGTAATAACTAGAAATTATAATCTATTGGATTAGCCAAATTATTAGAAATTCTTAGAAACTGGGGCAGGGATGGAAAGAAACTGATTCCTTGTACACTCATGGGACTGTAGAATAACACATTCAACCTAGAATAATGTGGTCATACTTCATCAAATATTATAACCCAATGATAAAGAAATCCCATTACTCTTCCTCAAGAATTCTCATTACCAAAGAATAATTCATGAAGAAATTTATTCCAGTACTAATTGTAATAGCTGGGAGGCTGGACAAGTAAAATGTGATGTCTCTCCACACTATGGGATGCTATGCATCAGTTAGAAGCAATGAACTAGATGGGGCACCTGGGTGGCTTAGTCGGTTCAGCATCCGACTTCAGCTCAGGTCATGATCTCATGGTCCATGGGTTCCAGCCCCGTGTCGGGCTCTGTGCTGACAGCTCAGAGCCTGGAGCCTGCTTCGGATTCTGTGTCTCCTTCTCTCTCTGCCCCTTCCCTGCTTGCACTCTGTCTCTGTCTCTCTCTCTCTCTCTCAAAAATAAATACACATTAAAAAATATTTTAAAAAAAAGAAGCAATGAACTAGAAAAACACATTGCAACATGAGCCAATTTAGTGCTAAGAGGAAAAAAAAAAGACACTGAGTAGGACATATAGCACAGTACCCAGAGTACCATTTCTACAAATTAAAAATACCAACAATTTAAATTTTACAAACACTCACAAATTCAAGGTTTGAGAGCAAACATATCAATTACATTAGAACAGTTACCTCTAAGGATAAAAACAAATATGGGGACTGAGAATTAAAAGAGAGAAATAGGGGCGCCTGGGTGGCGCAGTCGGTTAAGCGTCCGACTTCAGCCAGGTCACGATCTCGCGGTCCGTGAGTTCGAGCCCCGCGTCAGGTTCTGGGCTGATGGCTCAGAGCCTGGAGCCTGTTTCCGATTCTGTGTCTCCCTCTCTCTGCCCCTCCCCCATTCATGCTCTGTCTCTCTCTGTCCCAAAAATAAATAAACGTTGAAAAAAAAAATTTAGAATAAAAGAGAGAAATAAAGAAACAAAATGGGGGAGGGGAATGTTAGGTACATTGATAATGACATTAACTACAAACCAAGGAATATAATTAACTCAATTTCCTGTAAACAAAGTACAGAAACTTTTTGTAAAATGTCAAAATAAGTAAATTAGTTAGAAAGGTGAAGTCAGTGTTGTGTTACACTAGCCAAGTAAAAAGAGAATGTCAGGAAACATAAACTAAAGTCATAAATGGTAAAATGCTGCCCCCCAAATGTAGTAATGGTACTCTCCAAGTCAACAGCTGGAGGAGAGACATGGGACATGATACAGGAGGGCACCTCTAAGTGACAATTCGGAAGCATTAAGGGGAAAGAGAGAAAATGAAAAGAAACCAGCAATAGCGTAACCCACAGTAATATTTTAAAAAGGTAAATCAATGAGTATCTAAATGTGTAAGAGAAGGATTTAAGACCATGATGTGATGGAGGTAAAGAGAATAGAAATGCTAGAGAAAGGGAGAAAAACCATAAAGCAGGATCCTAGATCCAAATTAGGAGCAATTATAGAACATTCCCTCCTAGAAAGTCAAGGAAAGAAAAAGACACTGATACAGGAAGGGGCCTTAAGGTAGGAATGGCCTTCAGATATCTAGGGACTGCACCCACGCCACCATGCAGTTCCAAAAGTGCAGAATGTTACAGAAATGTCCTACTGACAGTGCCCCACAAGCCCAGCTGCTGCCCATACAACACACTCTCCATGCTCTCAGTCCCCTACTCACTGAGACAGTTGTGACTTGAAATGTCACCATCCAGCACACATGGCTCTTCTTGTTCCAAGTTGAAAATGACTTCTGGTTTGGGAACCTGACACCCTATCAACAGAAAATGACAAAAGACTTGCTTTCAGAGGCCATTCAATGAAGCATTCCATTTACTTTTCAGAAAAGTTCATGCAGAATAGAGGTATATTCATAACACACCAAATGGACAATTACTAACGTAGAACAAATAGGATAAGCTATTACACACTTCAGATGACCTGCAGCCATTTTTTATACAAAATTTATTGTCAAATTGGTTTCCATACAACACCCAGTACTCATCCCAACAGGTGCTCTCCTCAATGCCCATCACCCACTTTCCCCCCACCCCTCAACTCCCATCAACCCTCAGTTTGTTCTCAGTATTTAAGAGTCTGTTATGGTTTGCCTCCTTCCCTCTCTGTAACTTCCCCCCCCCCCACCCCTTCCCTCCCCTCTGGTCTTCTGTTAAGTTTCTCAGGATCCACATATGAGTGAAAACATATGCGATCTGTCTTTCTCTGCCTGACTTATTTCACTTAACATAACACTCTCCAGTTCCATCCACGTTGCTACAAATGGCCAGATTTCATTCTTTCTCATTGCCAAGTAGTATTCCATTGTATATATAAACCACATCTTCTTTATCCATTCATCAGTTGATGGACATTTGGTCTCTTTCCATAATTTGGCTATTGTTGAAAGTGCTGCTATAAACATTGGGGTACAAGTGCCCCTATGCATCAGCATTCCTGTATCCCTTGGGTAAATTCCTAGCAGTGCTATTGCTGGGTCATAGGGTAGCTCTATTTTTAATTTTTTGAGGAACCTCCACACTGTCTTCCAGAGTGGCTGCACCAGTTTGCATTCCCACCAACAGTGCAAGAGGGTTCCCATTTCTCCACATCCTCTCATCTATAGTCTCCTGATTTTTTTCATCTTAGCCACTCTGATTGGCGTGAGGTGGTATCTGAGTGTGGTTTTGATTTGTATTTCCCTGATGAGGAGTGACGTTGAGCATCTTTCCATGTGCCAGTTGGCCATCTGGATGCCTTCTTTAGAAAAGGGTCTATTCACGTCTTCTGCCCATTTCTTCACTGGATTATTTGTTTTTCGGGTGTGGAGCTTGGTGAGTTCTTTACAGATTTTGGATACTAGCCCTTTATCCGATATGTCATTTGCAAATATCTTCTCCCATTCCGTCAGTTGCCTTTTAGTTTTGCTGATTGTTTCCTTTGCAGTGCAGAAGTTTCTTTATGTTTATGAGGACCCAAAGTTCATTTTTGCTTTTAATTCCCTTGCCTTTGGAGATGTGTCAAGTAAGAAATTACTGTGGCTGAGGTCAGAGAGATTTTTTTCCTGCTTTCTCCTCTAGGGTTTTGATGGTTTCCTGTCTCATTCAGGTCCTTCATCCATTTTGAGTTTATTTTTGTGAATGGTGTAAGAAAGTGGTCTAGTTTCATTCTTCTGTATGTTGCTGTCCAGTTCTCCCAGCACCATTTGTTAATGAGACTGTCTTTTTTCCATTGGATATTCATTCCTGCTTTGTTAAAGATTAGTTGGCCATATATTTGTGGGTCCAATTCTGAAGTCTCTATTCTATTCCATTGGTCTATGTGTCTGTTTTTATGCCAATACCATGCTGTCTTCATGATTACAGCTTTGTAGTAGAGGCTAAAATCTGGGATTCTGATGCCTCCTGCTTTGGTCTTCTTCTTCAAAATTACTTTGGCTATTTGGGGTCTTTTGTGGTTCCATACAAATTTTAGGATTACTTGTTCTAGCTTCGAGAAGAATGCTGGTGCAATTTTTATTGGGATTGCATTGAATGTGTAGATTGCTTTGGGCAGTATTGACATTTTAATAACATTTATTCTTCCAGTCTGTGCGCATGGAATATTTTTCCATTTCTTTGTATCTTCTTCAATTTCCTTCATAAGCTTTCTATAGTTTTCAGCATACAGATCTTTTACATCTTTGGTTAGGTTTATTCCTAGGTATTTTATGCTTCTTGGTGCAATTGTGAATGGGATCAGTTTCTTTATTTCTCTTTCTGTTGCTTCATTATTGGTGTATAAAAATGCAACTGATTTCTGTACATTAATTTTGTATCCTGCGACTTTGCTGAATTCATGTATCAGTTCTAGCAGACTTTTGGTGGAGTCTATCGGGTTTTCCATGTATAATATCATGCCATCTGTGAAAAGTGAAAGCTGACTTCATCTTTGCCAATTTTGATGCTTTTGATTTCATTTTGTTGTCTGATTGCTGATGATGCTAGAACTTCCAACACTATGTTAAACAACAGCGGTGAGAGTGGACATCCCTGTCGTGTTCCTGATCTCAAGGGGGAAAGCTCTCAGTTTTTCCCCATTGAGGATGATATTAGCTGTGGGCTTTTCAAAAATGGCTTTTATGATGTTTAAGTATGTTCCTTTTATCCTGACTTTCTTGAGGGCTTTTTGAAAGAAAGGATGCTGTATTTTGTCAAATGCTTTTTCTGCATAGATTGGCAGGATCTTTGCAGATCTTTTCTTTTATTAATGTGATCTATCACATGGATTGATTTGTGAATATTGAACCAGCCCTGCAGCCCAGGAATGAATCCCACTTGATCATGGTGAATAATCCTTTTTATATGCTGTTTGATTCGATTTGCTAGTATTTTGAGATTTTTGTAGCCATATCATCAGGAATATTGTTTTGCTGGGTCTCTGTCTGGTTTGGGAATCAAAGTAGTGCTGGCTTCATAGGATGATTCTGGAAGTTTTCCATCCCTTTCTATTTTTTGAAACAGCTTGAGAAGGATAGGTATTATCTCTGCTTTAAATGTCTGGTAGAGGGGCGCCTGGGTGGCGCAGTCGGTTGAGCGTCCGACTTCAGCCAGGTCACGATCTCGCGCTCCGTGAGTTCGAGCCCCGCGTCGGGCTCTGGGCTGATGGCTCAGAGCCTGGAGCCTGTTTCCGATTCTGTGTCTCCCTCTCTCTCTGCCCCTCGCCCGTTCATGCTCTGTCTCTCTCTGTCCCAAAAATAAATAAACATTGAAAAAAAAATTTAAAAAAAAAATAAATAAATGTCTGGTAGAATTCCCCTGGGAAGCCATCTGGTCCTGGACTCTTCTTTGTTGGGAGATTTTTGACAACTGATTCAATTTCTTTGCTGGTTATGGGTCTGTTCAGGTTTTCTATTTCTTCCCGTTTGAGTTTTGGAAGTGTGTGGGTGCTTGGGAATTTGTCCATTTCTTCCAGGTTGTCCAGTTTGTTGGCATGTAATTTTTCATAGTATTCCCTGATAATTGCTTGTATTTCTGAGGGATTGGTTGTAATAATTCCATTTTCATCCATGATTTTATCTGTTTGGGTCATCTCCCTTTTCTTTTTGAGAAGCCTGGCTAGAGGTTTATCAATTTTGTTTATCTTTTCAAAAAAACAACTCTTGGTTTCACCGATCTGCTCTACAGTTTTTTAGATTCTATATTGTTTATTTATGCTCTGATCTTTATTATTTCTCTTCTTCTGCTGGGTTTGGGGTGTCTTTGCTGTTCTGCTTCTATTTCCTTTAGGTGTGCTGTTAGATTTTGTATTTGGGATTTTGCTTGTTTCTTGAGATAGGCCTGGATTGCAATGTATTTTTCTCTCAGGACTGCCTTTGCTGCATCCCAAAGCGTTTGGATTATTGTATTTTCATTTACATGTTTCCACATATTTTTAAATTTCTTCTCTAATAGCCTGGTTGGCCTATTTACTCTTTAGTAGGGTGTTCTTTAACCTCCATGCTTTTGGAGGTTTTCCAGACTTTTTCCTGTGGTTGATTTCAAATTTCATAGCACTGTGATCTGGAAGTGTGCATGGTATGATCTCAATTCTTTTATACCTATTAAGGGCTGTTTTGTGACCCAGTATGTGATCTATCTTGGAGAATGTTCCATGCGCACTCGAGAAGAAAGTGTATTCCATCACTTTGGGATATAGAGTTCTAAATGTATCTGTCACGTCCATCTGATCCAATGTATCATTCAGGGCCCTTGCTTCTTTATTGATTCTCTGTCTAGATGATCTATCCATTGTTGTAAGCGGAGTATTAAAGTGTCCTGCAATTACCACATTCTTATTAATAAGGTTGCTTATGTTTGTGATTAATTGTTTTATCTATTTGGGTGCTCCCAAATTCAGTGGGTAGACACTTATAATTGTTAGCTCTTCCTGATGGATAGACCCTGTAATTATTATATAATGCCCTTCTTCATCTCCTGTTACAGCCTTTAAAGTCTAGTTTGTCTGCTATAAGTATGGCTATTCCAGCTTTTTTGACTTCCAGTAGCATGAGAGATAGTTCTCCATCCCCTCACTTTCAATCTAAAGGTGTCCTCAGGTCTAAAATGTGTCTCTTGTAGACAGCAAATAGATGGGTCTTGTTTTTTTATCCATTCTGATACCCTATATCTTTTGGTTGGAGCATTTAGTCCATTTACATTCAGTGTTATTACTGAAAGATATGGGTTTAGAGTCATTGTGATGTCTGTAGGTTTCATGCTTGTAGTGGTGTTTCTGGTATTTTGTGGTCTTGTAACATTTCACTTATAGGGTCCCCCTTAGGATCTCTTGTAGGGCTGGTTTAGTGGTGATGAATTCCTTCAGTTTTTGTTTGTTTGGGAAAACCTTTATCTCTCCTTCTATTCTGAAGGACAGACCTGCTGGGTAAAGGATTCTCAGCTGCATATTTTTCCTGTTCACCACATTGAAGATTTCCTGCCCTTCCTTTCTGGCCTGCCAAGTTTCAGTAGATAGGTCTGCTACTACCCTTATGTGTCTACCTTTGTATGTTAAGGCCCGTTTATCCCTAGCTGCTTTCAGAATTCTCTCTTTATCCTTGTATTTTGCCAGTTTCAGTAGGATATGTCATGCAGAAGATCGATTCAAGTTAAGTCTGAAAGGAATTCTCTGTGCCTCTTGGATTTCAATGCCTGTTTCCTTCCCCAGATCTGGGAAGTTCTCAGCTATGATTTGTTCAAGTACGCTTTCAGCCCCTTTCTCGCTTCTTCTTCTGGAATTCCTATGATACAGATATTGTTCTGCTTGGTCGCATCACTTAGTTCTCTAATTCTCCTCTTGTACTCCTGGATTTTTATCTTTTTCTCAGCTTCCTCTTTTTCCATAATTTTATTTTCTAATTCACCTATTCTCCTCTCTGCCTTGTCAATCCGTGCTGTGGTCATCTCCATTTTATTTTGCACCTCAATTATAGCATTTTTTTAAATTCATCATGACTATTTTTTAGTCCCTTGATCTCTGTAGCAATAGATTTTCTGGTGTCCTCTATGCTTTTTTCAAGCCCAGTGATTAATTTTATGTCTATTATTCTAAATTCTTGTTCAGTTATATTGCTTGAATCGGTTTTGATCAATTCGTTAGCTGTCGCTACTTCCTGGAATTTCTTTTGAGGAGAATTCTTCCCTTTCATCATTTTGGCTAGTTTTCTGTCCCTTATGCGTTTTAAAAGCTTGTTGTGTGCTCTGCACCTGCAAACACCGCTATATTAAAGGAGGCTCATATATACTGTCCAGAGCCAGGCCCTTCAGGAGGTGTTTTTTAAGGGATTGTTACTTGCTCTCTGTTTTTGTGACTTCGGTTATTTTATTACCCTACTCGTAATAATATTTTGGACCCTCCACCAGATGTGCTTTGATTTATTCCTTGGAGTAGCCCTGTAAAGGAAAACAGATAGACAAACAGGAGACAAAAACATCAAACACACAAATAACACAAACAAACAAAAATCTAAAGACTAAAAACAAAACAAAAAACAAAAAAACAGACTACAAGAAAAGAAGAGGGTGGAGGTGGTGTTGATGGAAGAGCACATACAAGGACGGAAATGACAGGGGGGGGGTGGAGCGGGGGGGGGGGGGGGGGCGGTGGGAAGAAAAAATAAACATTGATTAGGCAGAGACTAAAAGGCTTAATCTTAATCCAGAGACAGAGAAAGGAAAAAAAAAAGAAGGAGGCAGGGAAAATGAAATGAAGATAAAGTTACCCAGAGAAATTATATGGCTTAATTATTTCAGAGAGAGAGAAAGGACTGTAAAGAAGGAGGTGTAGGACATGTATCAAGACAATGGATTAAATATGTCTGTTTAGACAGACGAATAACCAGAGTTATTGGGAGGGAAGAGATAAGGAGGAGAAATGGAGAGGGGGAGGGAAGAATTATCTATATATCCAGAATTGACCTAGTTAATCCAGGCAATGCTGCATCGCTTGTCAGGGTAGCTGTCCACAGGGTCTGTGTCCCTCTGGTGGACAGCAGTTACCCAGTGCAAAGGGGCGTGGTTTGGCGTTTTCTGGACCCACCTCCACTATGGGCCCAGGAGTGATCCCTGAGGCCCCGACTTGGTGGTGGTGGGGAGTGGGGGAGGACATGGTGATCCCCCAGTCTCTTCTCTACGGAGCTGGACCCGGTGGACTCAGTTTGAGTCACCCTCACTGTGCCATGGGCACAGACAAGAAGGTCCTTCTCACTCTGCCAACTCCCCTGACCCTGCGCTTGGCTAGGATTCAAAGTCCCGCCCTGTGCACTCTGGCACTGGGGAAGTGCCTCTCAGTGCCGCGATATGTGGTCCCCGCTGGCTTTGTCTGTGCCACAGCCACTTCAGGGAGGACCACCTTCTCCTACTGCGCACACAGCCACTGCCCTCACCATGAGCCCCCAGGGCTCCACAGCACTTCAGGCAAAAGGTCGCCTTTTCCTCCTGCAGACTGCGCCCTCAGCCTAGCCACTGTGCCCAGGGGTGGCAGACGCAGGCAGGTTCTGTACTATCGCGCAGCTCTCCAGGGAGGGAACCACTTTCTCCAGCTGCGGGCTGAGCCCCTGCCCTGCACCCAGGCCTGGCTCCCCTCCTCCCTAGGTGCGTGAACAGGGAGCCGGCCCCAGTTCAAAGAAAGCCCCGCAGTTAGAGATTGGATCCCTCCCAGTCTCAGTCCGAGGTCTTTCTCCTGTCCAGATACCGTCCTACACTTCCCTAGCCACTCTTCTCTTCGTTTTGTCTCTCTGCAGAAGGGGGTCCCTCCCCTCCATGTCCACGCGGCCTTTTGTTTTTTATCTCCCCTAATTCACAGTTACCCACCTATCTTTTTTCCAGCTTTCCCATTTTCATCCTAGTAGATTCAGTCTCTTTTCCTCCCAGGTTCTGGTGTTCAAAGTCCTTTGGCTTCCACACTTCTTTGTTTGAGAGATGCAGGAAGTATGGATCCCCCTACTTCTCCGCCATGTTGGCCCCTCCCAGACCTGCAGCCTTTAGAATTCCCACGTATCACAGAAATTCCACAGATTTAAAAAATTCCACTGAGAATGCAAATATACTCAAACAGGTACAGCCTTATCCCCAGGGGAGCTGTGCTTACCCACTGAGATCAAGTTGAAATAGTTTTCCAGCATCACATCCCTGTACAGGCTTTTCTGAGCAAGGTCCAATCGTTGCCACTCCTCCCTGCTGAAGTCTACCATTACATCCTTGAATGACACTGATCCCTGCAAAAACACATTCCTATTCAATGTGAAGAATGGAAACAAGGTATTTAGGAACTTACTTTTAATAATTTTCATCATGCTACAACATATAAAGTTTTATATATTTTATATCATTATTTGAGGGAAAATAAATCTCATTAAAAATATCATGCTGGTGCCTGGGTGGCTCAGTCAAGATTAAGCCTCCGACTTTGGCTCAGGTCATAATCTCGTGGTTCCTGAGTTTGAGCCCCACATCGGGCTCTGTGCTGACAGCTCAGAACCTGGAGCCTGCTTCGGTTTCTGTGTCTCCCTTGCTCTCTGCCCACCCCCCACCCCCATGCTCTCACTCTCCCTCCCTCTCAAAAATAAGCATTAAAAAATATATATAACCACAGAATCTGCCCCCAAAGCCAAGAGCACACTTTACACACTGTATGTTAGCCAATTTGATAATAAATTATATTAAAGTAATAAAAATAAATAAATAAATAAATAAATAAATAAATCATGCCATTCTTTCTGTAGTACTGATAATATTCTGGGTTGTTTTGGTCATTTTTTTGGTATGCTGTGGAAATTCATAAAACTTTATGATTTGTGCATTCTTTTCTATGCCATATGTCATTAAAACTTCATTTAAAAGATAAAATATATTCTGCCATTCATTTTGCACTTACCAATTCACTGAATAAGTCCATTCTTTCTTTAAAAAAGATAATTAAAATAGGCACTTTTTTTTTTTTAACAGTGTGGTACTAGCATAAAGAGAGACATATAGGTCAATGGGATGTAACTGAGAATCAAGAAATAAACCCTCATATTTATAGTCAACTGATATTCAACACAGGTGTCAAAACAACTTAAAATCGGGGAAAAAAAGGATAAAAGAATGAAGTTGGACACCTACCTCATACCATATTAAAAAAAATAGCTCAAAATGGGTCAAAGGCCTAAATGTTCTTATATTTAGCCAAATTTACACTTTAGCTAAAAGGGTAAATCCTTGTGATGCTCGATTTGGCAATGATTCCTGGGATATAAAGTCAAAAGCACAAGCAACTAAAGAAAAAAGTAGAGGAGCAAGTGGATGACTCAGTCAGTTAAGCATCTGACTTCAGCTCAGGTCATAATCTCGCAGTTCATGAGTTCAAGCCCCCCCGTCAGGCTCTGTGCTGACAGCTCAGCACCCCAACTTATACTCTGTCTGTCTCTCTCTCTCAAAAATGAATAAACATTAAAAAAAGTTAAAAAGAAAAAAATAAATAGGACTTCATCAGAATTAAAAACTTTGTGCTTAAAAGGATAGCATCAAGAAAGTGAAAAGACAACCCAAAAACTGGAACAAAATTTTTGCAAATTATATGTCTGGTAAGTGACCTGTATCTAGAATATATAAAGAGCTCCTGTAATTCAATAAAGCATAAATAATCCAATTAAAATGAATAAAGGACCTGAATATACATTTCTCTAAAGATCCACAAATGGGAAAAAGCACATGTAAAGATCCTCAGTACCGTTAGTCATAAAGGATATAGAAATCCAAATCATAGAGATACCCCTTCAAATTCACTAAGATGACTATAATAAAAAAGATATTTAATATTGTTAGTCATCAGTGGTATATTTCCACGAGAATGGCTTCAATTAAAAAAAAGATAATAATAAATGGTTAGTGTGGAAGTGGAAATATTGGAACCCTTGTACAGTGATAGTGGACATGTAAAATGATATAACCACTTTGAAAAACACAATTTCTCAAAAAGTTAAACACAGAGTTACAACATGACCCAAAAGGTCAACTTCCAGGTAAATACCCAATAGAAATGAAAACATTTGTCTACATAAAACTTGCACATGACAATTCATAGTAGCATTATTCATAATATTCACAGTGAAAAGGAATAACATATTGTAGTCTGAGAAGACAGAGGGGGAATGTGGGGCAGAGGCAATATTTGAGAGGTATCAGTGAACAACATTAGCCCAAAAATTCAAGAAGCTCCTCAAATCCAACTTTATAAAACTGCAAAGACTATAAAAAATGGTAACAGTAATATCTAGTGATGTTTAAAATACATGTCAAATCTAGGGCACCTGGGTAGTTCAGTCGGTTAAGCATCCGACTTCAGCTCAGGTCATGATCTCATGGTCAGTGAGTTCAAGCCCCGCATCCAGCACTGTGTTGACAGCTCAGAGCCTGAAGCCTGCTTCAAATTCTGTGTCTCCCTCTCTCTCTGTCCCTCCCTCGCTCATGCTCTGTCTCTCTCTGTCTCTCAAAAAGGAATAAACATTTAAAAAAAATATAATAAAATACATGTCAAATTTAAATGCATGAAAATAAGAATGCAAAGATGAGAGGTGGTAAATGGAATTAAGATGATTTGGTATCCCAGAATTATTGAGAAGGGGGTAGAAATAACGACTTAAAGATGAATACTGTAATACCTAGGGTAAAAAAAGAATGTATACAATGAGCAAGTTAACAAAGGAAAAAATTAAATTTTGAGTAATCTAAAAGAAGATTAAGAAAGGAATGTAAAAATAATATTAAATAGATGGTTCAAATATAAAATTAATAGTAAGATAGTATATATAAGTGCAAGTATATCAGCCATTACATTAAATGTAAATGGACTTGGGAGCCTCAATGGCTCAGGTGATTAAGCATCTGACTCTTGATTTTGGCTCAGGTCATGATCTCACAGTTGGTCCTCTCTCTCCCTCTCCCTCTCTCTCTGCCACTCCCCCAATGGTGCTCTCACTCTCTCAAAATAAATAAACATTTAAATGTAAATGGATTAAACATTCAAGATAAAGCAAAGATTGAATAAATCCCACTTGATCATGGTGAATGATCCTTTTAATGTATTGTTTTTTTAAAAAAATTTTATTGTTATTTATTTTGAGAGAGCTAGAGAGCAAACAGTAGAGGGACAGAGAGAGAGGCAGACAAAAATCCCAAGCAGGTTCTGTGCCATCAGTGCAGAGCCAGATGCGGGGCTCAAACTTACAAACTGTGAGATCATGACCTGAGCCAAAATCAAAAGTCATACATTTAACCCACTGAGCCACCCAGGCACCCCCTTTTAATGTATTGTTGAATGTAGTTTGCTAATATTTTGCTGAGAATTTTTGTATATGTTTCATCAGGGATCTTGGTCTATACTTTTTGTAATGTCTTTGTCCGGTTTTAGTATCAGGGTAATGCTGGCCTTTTAGAATGTATTTGGAAGCTTTCCTTCTTCTTCTATGTTTTGGAATAGTTTGACAAGAGTAGCTTTAACTCTCCTTTACTTTTTTTTTTAAGTTTATTTATTTGAGAGAGAGCAAGCAAACGGGGAAGGGGTAGAGAGAGGAGAGAGAGAAAATCCCAAGCAGGCTCTGAGCTCTAAGCACAGAGCCCAATGCAGGGCTCTATCTCACAAACTGTGAGATCATGACCTGAGCAGAAATATGAGTCAGGCGCTTAAGCTACTGAGCCACCCAGGCACCCCTTAAACTCTCCCTTAAATGTTTACTAGATGGAGCACTTGGGTGGATGAGTCGATAGAGCATCTGACTTCATTCAGCTCAGGTCATGATCTCAGTCGTGAGTTCGAGCCCCACATAGGTCTCATGGCTGTCAGTGCAAAGCGGGCTTCAGATCCTCTGTCCCCCTCTCTCTGCCCCTCCCCCACTTGCACTCTCTTAAAAATAAATAAACATTTAAAAAATAAAAAATAAAATAAATGTTTGCTAAAATTCACCTGTGAAGCCATCTGGTCCTGGACTTTTGTCTGTTGGGGTTTTTTTTTTTTTTTTCATTATCAATTCAATTTCACTACTAGTAACTGGTCTGTTTAGATTTTGTATCTCTTCCTGATTCAGTTTTAGAAGATTATATGTTTCTAGGATTTATCCATTTCTTCCAGGTTTATTCCTGGGATACAAGAATGGTTTAATATCCACAAATCAATCAACATGATACACCACATTGACAAAATAAAGATAAAAATCATGTAGTCATCTCAATAAATGCAGAAAAAGCATTTGACAAAATTTAATACCTGTTCATGAAAAAAATAAAAGTAAGACTTTCAACAAAGCGGGTTTAAAGGGAATATATTTCTGGGCACCTGGGTGGCTTAGTCAGTTGAGAGTCTGAATCTTGATTTCAGCTCAGGTCATGATCCGAGGGTTGTGGGAATGAGCCCCACACTGGGCTCTGTGCTAAGCATGGAGCTTGCTTAAGATTCTCTATCTCTCCTTCTGCCCCTCCACTCCCCTGCTCACACTCTCTCTCACTCTAAAATAAATAATTAAAAATAAAGGGAGTATAGCTCAACATAATAAAGGCCGTAAATGACAAACCTACAACAAACATATACAATGGTGAAACACTGACAGCTTTTTCTCTAAGATCAGGGGCAAGACAAGGATGTCCACTCTCATCACTTCTATTCAACACAGTACTGGAAGTCTAGGCCACAGCAGTCAGAAAGGAAAAAGAAAAGGCATCCAAGTTGATAAGGAAGAAGTAAAACTGTCATTATTTGCAGATGACATGGTACCATACACAGAAAATCCTAAAAACTCCACCAAAAAAATATTAGAAATAATAAATGAATCCAGTAAAGTTGCAGATACAAAATTAATATACAAAAAAAAGATATTGCTGGGGCGCCTGGGTGGCTCAGTCGGTTAAGCGGCAGACTTCAGCTCAGGTCACGATCTCGCGGTCCGTGATTTCGAGCCCCGCGTCGGGCTCTGGGCTGATGGCTCAGAGCCTGGGGCCTGCTTCCGATTCTGTGTCTCCCTCTCTCTCTGCCCCTCCCCCGTTCATGCTCTGTCTCTCTCTGTCTCAAAAATAAATAAAACGTTAAAAAAAATAAAAAAATAAAAAAAAAGATCAGACTTGCATTAAAAAAAAAAAAGATATTGCTTATGTTTCCATATACTAATATAAAGTAGCAGAAAGAAATTAAGAAAACAATTCCATTTACAACTGTATCAAAAAGACTAAAAGCCTAGGAATAAACTTAATGAAAAGAGATGAAAGATCTGTACCCTGAAAAACAATAAAGCATTAATGAAAGAAAGAAACTAAAGACAATACAAACAAATGGAAAGATATACCATGCTTATGGATTGGAAGAATTAATATTGTTAAAATTCCATATTACCCAAAGCAATCTATAGATACAATGTAATTCCTATAAAATGCCAATAGTATTTTTTACAGAACTAGAAAAATACTAAAATTTTTATGGAGCCACCAAAAAAACCCAAGTAGCAAATGCAATCGAAGAACAAAGCTGGGGGTAGCACATCCAATATTTCAAGAGATACTACAAAGCTACAGTAATCTAAACAGTATAGTACTAGCACAAAAAACAGACACATATCATTGGAATGGAATAGGAGGCCCAGAAATAAACCCAGGGTTTATATGGTCAATTAATCTACAACAAAGGAGGCAAGAATATACCATGGGAAAAGCCAGTCTCTTCAATAAATGGGTGTTGGGAAAACAGGACAGCTACATGTAAAAGAATGAAACTGAACCACTTTCTTACACCATACCCAAAAATAAATTCAAAACGGATTAAAAACCTAAATGTGAGACAGGAAACCATCAAAATCCTAGAAGAGAACACAGGCAGTAACCTCTTTGACATCAGATTTAGCAACATGTTTTTAGATATGTCTCCTCAGCCAAAGGAAACAAAAACAGTAATAAACTGTTGAGGCTATGTCAAAATAAAAAAACTTCTACATAGTGAAAGAAACAATCAGCAAAATGAAAAGGCAACCGACTGAACAGGAAAAGATATGTGCAAATGGTACACTGAATAAGGGGTTAATATCTGAAATATACAAAGAATTTATACAACTCAACACAAAAAAAAAAAAAAACCCCACAAATAATCTGGTTAAAAATGGATAGAGGACCTGAATAGACATTTTTCCAAAAAATGAGATATGGGGCACCTGGATGGCTCAGTTGGTTGAGCACCTGATTCTTGATTTCAGCTCAGGTCATGATCTCACGGTTTGTGGGTTTGAGCCCAAGTCGAGCTCCATGCTGACAGCTCAGAGCTTGGAGCCTGCTTGGGATTCTGTATCTCCGTCTCTCTCTGCCTCTCCCCTGCATGCACTGGGTCTCTGTCTCTCAAAAATAAATAAACATTAAAAACATCTTTTTTTAAGTTAAAATGCAAAGAAGAGATAAATATTATTGAAAAAATATATAAGAATATGCTTACTATAAAATAAGTCCTCCTTCAAAAAAAAAAAAAAAAAAAAAAAAAAAAATCAGTGAACGACTTCCACTCCTGGAAAGATGGAAACAAATGCACTCATCTCTCCTCATTCCACTACGCCCATCTAGAAACCTAGACATCATCCATAAACAATCTGAGAATACTCTGTAAGGCAAAGAATAAGAGACAAACTGGCTAGGGACCTCAGGAACCAAGGAACTACACAACATTAGTTCCTGAAGACTGCCTCATACAGCCCTGACAGGTGCTAGAACATTCTACAACCCAGAATCACCAAGAGCACACAAAGAGAGCTCAAAGAAAAGTCTCTCTCTAGCTAAAAGATCAGCAAAAGGGCAACCTAGAAGGCAGAAAAATTTTAGGCAAAATATACTCTAGCCAAACACAACAGATTAAAAACCCAAAGAAACAAAAAACTTTGGGCCTGACCCCACGCCCACCAAATAAAGACCCAAGGAGTGGCCTAGACTCCCACTCTTGCCTGGCTGAACAAAGATGTCCCTTCACATTCCAATGGTGTGGTGTGGGAAAAAGCAGGGGGGAACTGGAACTTTCATTCATACACAGTAGTAATAAAATTAAAAAAAAAAAAAAATAGACCAATATTTCTCATTAATATAAGTCCTCAACAAAGTATGAGCAAATAAAATACATAAAAAGAAGTATATGCCGGGGTGCCTGGGTGGCTCTGTCGGTTAAGTGTCTGACTTTGGCTCAGGTCATGATCTCGCGGTTTGTGGATTCCAGACCCACGTCAGACTCTGTGCTGACAGCTTGCTCAGAGCCTGGGGCCTGCTTCAGATTCTGTGTCTCCCTTTATCTCTGCCCCTCCCCTGCTCGCCCTGTCTCTCACTGTCTCTCTCTCAAAAATAAATAAACATTAAAAAAAAAAAAAGTATATGCCATGATCAAATGGGGTTTATTCAAAGGTTGCCAAGGCTGGCTCAGTATGTGAAAATCAATGTAATCCATCATAGCAGTAGGCTAAGGAAGTAAAATTCCACAACCATGTCAACTGATGCAGAAAATCAAAATTCAACACCTATTCATGATAAAACCTCAAAACTTTGTTTCACAAGGTAGTCCTTGGACAAGCAGCAATGACACCCTGTTGGAATCCCAACCCTATTAAATAAGAATCTGAAGTCACGTGCCAGCGAGAGAAGCACCGCTCTGTAATGATGGAAACCCTGGCAGTGTATTTCTAACAGTGTTCTTGTTGAAGACACTGTTCTGTCTCCATTCATCTGAAGAGCCATCAGAATTTTTCTCAAGCATCAAGAACCAGGCAATCTTTACTACAGATGAAATAAATTACTTATCAACAATATAAACCAGTACCTCATTTTCATTATTGCTATGTCTTTCACGGACACCAGAGACAATCTCACAGTTCAGAGTTCATAGCTGTATAAAATCACAACTCACATATATCTATACTCCAAGCTTGACTTGGAGTTGATAGTCACTTCTTTTTTTCCCTCTGATCTTGGTTTTTATTAACTTATACTTGTCCATCTTACGATATGGGTTATTAGATGCTTCCTAAAATCCACTAGAAAACAAAACAACAAATAAATAAATGAACAAATAAGAACTCACCAGGGACTTGGTCATTTCTGGCTCTTCTGGGAAAGAGGCAGAGATCTGAGAAGAGATGAACAGAGTGACCAATGAGAGAAGGAAGTGTGCCAGAGTCCCACACATGGACATATACATCATTTAGCATACATGCACCTGACCCAAAAAACTCATTTCCAGGACATCATAAAAAATCATCCTGAATTGCACAAAAATTTAATTTATTTTTTTAACGTTTATTTATTTTTTGAAAGAGAGAGAGAGTGGGGGAGGGGCAGAGAGAGAGGGAGACAGAGGATCCCAAGCAGGCTCTGCACTGTCAGCACAGAACCCGACATGGGGCTCGAACTCATGAAACATGAAATGATGACCTGAGCCGAAATCGGATGCTCAGCTGACTGAGCCACCCAGGCACCCCTGCACAAAAACTGAAAAGCAGAAATTTCACCACAGCATGGCTAACAACAAAATTAAAAGGCTAGAACAGGGGCGCCTGGGTGGCTCAGTCGGTTAAGCGTCCGACTTCAGCTCAGGTCACGATCTCACAGTCCGCGAGTTCGAGCCCCGCGTCGGGCTCTGGGCTGATGGCTCAGAGCCTGGATCCTGGTTCCGATTCTGTGTTTCCCTCTCTTTATGCCCCTCCCCCGTTCATGCTGTGTCTCTCTCTGTTTCAAAAATAAATAAACGTTAAAAAAAAAAATTTAAAAGGCTAGAACATACTGATACCCAATAACTATAGACTCTTTAAATAATTTGTGGACCATCCTGAAAACATAAAGACACATAAAATTAAATTACAGTAGAAAAATATGTTAAACGGCCAAGTAAAAATGAAAAGATGTACCAAATAGTATGGTTTCATTTTCATTGAACAACATGTGTGTACATACACATGCACACATACACGCATAGACACATATATGAGTGCATTCATACACAAGAAAGAAAATTGTCTGGGAGGAAATATACTACAATGTTAACAGATATATTATTTGGGTGGTGATAAAATTATAGGTAATTTTTATATTCTTATAAAACAAAGTAACTTTTTTTTTTTAATGTTTGTTTATTTGGGGCACCTGGGTGGCTCAGTGGTTGAGCCTCCAACTTAGGCTCAGGTCACCATCTCGCGATTTGTGGGTTCAAGCTCCGTGTCAGGCTCTGTGCCGACAGGTTGGAGACTGGAGTCTGCTTCAGATTCTGTGTCTCCCTCTCTTTCTGCCCCTTCCTCACTCATGCTTTATCTCTTTCTCTCTCTCAAAAATAAACATTAAAAAATTGTTTTTAATAAATAAAAATAAATGTTTATTTTTGTGAGAGATAGTGAGCGGGAAGGGGCAGAGAGAGAGAGAGAGAGAGAGAGAGAGGAGAGGTAGAGAAAATCCCAAGCAGGCTCGCTGCTGTCAGCACAGAGCCCAATGCAGGGCTCGCTCCCACGAACTCTGAGATCGTGACCTAAACTGAAATCAAGAGGCAGACAGTCAACTGAGCCACCCAGGCGCCCCTGGAAGCAGGTTCTAATCAAGACACACACATTGGTCATTGTGTCCCTTTGACCCTAGATCTATCCTCCCCAATATTTTTTCATGATAGACTTTTAAAATTAATTTTTGCTTTGAACTTTTATATTAAAAGTATTCCTATTAAATATACTTTTCATGTCTAAACTCTGCCAGCAAATATTGGGCCAAGGTGGACTGGAGTCTGAAAAAGAGATTCTGAAGGCTCACTATGTGCTCTGATACCAGGGATCTGTGGAAACACAAAGAGATCCTGCAGAGACAGTGCCACATGGTGACAGCCACTCAGCTGTCCTCCCAAGAGCCTCATACGGTGTGGGACGGGTGGTACAGGGGAACAACGAGAATTTGGAGCCAAATCAATGTATGTTTGAATCTCAGTTCTTCCATCTTCTAGCGTGACAACCTAGAGAACTCACTTCAATCTGTTTCCCCATCTTCATACTTTTTAGATAAACAAACTTACAATACTTGAAAAGCACTCAGACAGGTGTGGCATATAAATACTCACTAAAATTAGTTACTGATATTATTACAATATCAGTAATCCATGTAGAATGCAATCACTGTACCAGATGTCATCTGACTTCACAGCCCCCTCAAGTAAGCCATCACCAACCCCGACCCCCAGTTCCTCACTCGCACTCCACAAGTGGCTCCACTGTCAGTTGCTGCACACTGACCTCCTGCAAGAGCCATTACTCACACCTCAGAATCACTGGTTCCCATAGCCTGCTGCTCACAGACCCCAAATCATTCATTCCACTGTCCCTGATCACAGAGCCTCCAACACTCTAACCTGATCGTTCTGGCTTGCCACCAGTAAATTCCATGCCCCACAAAGGAAAAATTCCTCCTATATGTCTTTCCTCCATTCTCAATACTTCTGGTCATCAAATATGTGTGTGTGTGTGTGTGTGTGTGTGTGTGTTGGAAAAGGTCGGGGGTGGGGAAGGAATCCCTACACTAAGCAATTCTGCAACACCAGCCGAATGTCCTACAATTTAACTCAATTCTGGCATCATCTGCTTGGAGTTAGCATCAGATCACACAGGTTGAGGGCTCACTCTCATGAGAGTGCCCCCTGCCCCAACTTCAAATGACAATCATAAGCCCAGGCTGTTACTTGTGCTTATTAACTGGCTGTAAATCAGAGGTTCCCAGGACCCCCAGCTCGGGTTCCATTAATTTGCCAGAGCAGCTCACAGAACTCACGATAACATTTGACTTATTGGATTACTGATTGATTATAAAATGACATACCTCAGGAACAACCAGATGGATGAGACGCATAGAGCGAGGTATATGGGAAGGGGTGCCGCACTCTCCCAGCATCTCTATGTGTTCAATCCAGAAGCTCTCCAAACTCCATCCTTTTGGGGTTTTATGGACGCTTCATTACATACAGATGATTAATTAAATAACTGGCCATTGGTGACTGACTCAACCTCCATTCGGGGCATGGGTTTCAAGTTCCAACGCTCTAATCACATGGTTCGCTCCCCTGGCAACCAGCCCTCCTCGAGGGGTTATGGAGAGACTTTCAAAAAATTACTTCATTATCGTAAACTCAGGTGTGGTTCAAAAGAATTTATTAGGAATGATGACAACATCCATTTCACCTTCATCTCTCTGGAGCAATTTCTGGAGTCAGGAACAAAAGGTGCCCTGTGGCTCTTATCATTTAGGAAATGACAAAGGTTTTAGGAGCTATGTGCTGGGAACCATGGACTAAGACTAAAATACTTATTTCTTATTATATCACAATATCACATGCCCCCATTGCTGGCCTCCACACTTTCATCACCACCCACCATGCACCTTCATCAATCATCCCAAGAGTCCCAATCCCAGATGCACCTGCCCTGGCACCAGGTACCCAAGCACACTTCCCACCACTCACACCACTACTAGGCCTGTACCATTAGCCTTCCCCACAAACTTACGCACACACACACACACACACACACACACACAGAGGAAGGAACCCAATCAATGATCAAATCTGGGGATATTCTTGAATTTTAAAGATAATCAAACATACATAAATCCAAAGCACATGTGAAATAACAGATTATTTACAGAGAAAATTTTCAGAAAATCAAGATGCCTCATCTGCAGTAAATTAAATATCAGAAATGTATCTAAAAGGCCTTTTCTGGGGCACTTGGGTGGTTCAGTCGGTTAAGTGCCCAACTCTTGGTTTTGGCTCAGGTCATGATCTCATGGTTCGTGAGTTCAAGCTCCATGTTGGGCTCCATGCTAATGGTGCAGAGCCTACTTGGAATTCTCTCTCTCCCTCTCTCTCTGCCCTTCCCCTGCTCTCTCTCTCTCTCTCAAAATAAATAAATTAACTTAAAAAAAAATCTTTAAAAGGCCATTTCTCTGTGAAGGCTAGAGAAAGACATTTTCAGAAATAAAAGTACTTGCAGAGTATCTCTATCCTTATCTGGCGAAAATACTTTAAAAAGTATTCCAAATAATGTAAATTGAATCAGATGAGATCTCCCAAAGAAAAATACTGTTCAGCAATAATTTTTGCAAGAGATATGATTATAAAAAAGGACAAGACTGGTGATGGGATGAGGCCATTAAAGGTAAAATTGATAATATTCTATGATAAAACATTTCTAATTAAAACATAAGAAAAAACGTAAGTTATACGGGGTGTAGAATGGAAACGATGAACAGAAACTTGTAGAAACACTACAATGAAAGTAGAAAGTATGAAACAAAAAAATGGGGCACCTGGCTGGCTCAGTTGGTTGAGCTTCTGACTTTTTTTTTTAATTAATTAATTAATTAATTAATTTCTTTATTTATTTATTGTTTAATTTACATCCAAGTTAGTTAGCATATGATGCAACAATGATATCAGGAGTAGATTCCTTAATGCCCCTGACCCATTTAGCCCATCCCCCCCACCCCCAACCCCGCTGACTCTTGACTTCTGCTCAGGTCATGATCTCATGCTTCCCGGGATCAAGACTGGTATGGTACTGTGCTGACAGGAGCCTGCTTGGGATTCACTCTCCCTCTCTCTCTGCTCCTTCCCTGCTCATGCTTTCTCTCTTTCTCTTAAAATAAATAAATAAGGAAGGAAGGAAGGATGCTCATGCTTTCTCTCTTTCTCTTAAAATAAATAAATAAGGAAGGAAGGAAGGAAGGAAGGAAGGAAGGAAGGAAGGAAAGAAAGAAAGAAAGAAAGAAAGAAAGAAAGAAAGAAAGAAAGAA